TGAAACAGTGAATGGAAAACAAGCACCAACAGAGATATGAAAGAGTGCCTGTAGGGGATGAATTTTAATATTAAATAAATGTAAAGCCAATGGGGAAGCAGAGATGAAGCGACAAAGATGTGCTCTGCGTAACACATACTAATATGATGGATTAATGAGTTCAGTGTCTGATCACTCCCAACTGTTCATACAAAAGATGAGTGTAGATGAAATGGTGTGGAGCATTGAATACTTACAGGAGCTCTTTTACTCGATGCTAAACAGCTCCTGTGATGATTGGGGGCTTTTTACAGAAAGCAGAAAGTGATGCTTAATCTGATAAAGACAGAAGTTTCATTTTGAGTATGCTGGTCATTTAAGAAACAGAGTTTGATGCTTTAGCTGTACAAAGATTTTTTTATGCCCCCCTCCAAAAAAAATAAAATTCATCAATAACAACGAAATACGTAAAAATATGCTAAATGATTGCATGATAGATAATTATAAAAAAGATATAAAGACAATATAAAGGCATAACAAAGTACAAGAAACAACTTTATATATATATATATATATATATATATCTGATGTACAATAGAAATCTTTATTATTTATGATAAATGTAAGTGTTTTATGAACATTGCACTATTCTTTTATCTTTTTATCTGTTAATTTATGAAAGGCATTATTTATCTATTGTATGTCTCTTCAGTGTCATTTATCCTACCCACCTATAACTTCTCCTTGGAGCTAGTCCCCTTTAAGCATTATTTTGTCTCATTAAAGGGCATAACTACATTAAGAAATGTAATCATAGAATCCAAATGTGCAATAGTGTAATAGTAAATGGTTACAATTACCTTTTACAATCCATTTAAACTATTAATATCCTAAGTTCTTGGTTACCTGGGGTGGTTCAGTTGCTCATTTAATATTAATCTGATGGTAAAATCTCAAAATCTAATTTCAAGTCACATTTTCTTAGATACATTAAAAATATTTGTCTTTTCCTTCGAATAATGGAAATAATTATTTTGATTATTTAGGAGGAATTGTTTTGGTCCCAGGTGACTCTGCATTGGTTCATAGAAAAATTTAACCCTTTTTATTTATTGAAGAACTCAGACTTCCACAGCCAGGCAACAAGGAGGGGGCTATAAATATTACAAGATGAGCTTGCTATGCCACACTCTCATATTAAATCATACAGAGAAGACTGAATGTGCCCTTATAAAATAATAATGCCTTTGTGGGCCTTTCAAATGTATAACTCAGTATGCAGTGTCTCCTCCCTATCCACCTACTTTCCTGTTTCTTTCTGGTTCAAATAAAGTTGTGACTTTTTGTCCCTCTGTCCGATGGTTTTCCCCATTTAGGGCTAAATTTGTTCAGCTCTGAAAACCATTAAACTAAATCTAAGTGAAGATACAGATCATGAGCTAGTGCTTGCTTCACAGCTATTTTAAGTGATTCCATGTCTTCAAACCTTTGCTTGATGAGATGTTTCTAGAGATGCAATTGTGTCTATGAAGAATGGGGGTAGTGGTTAGAGCAGAGCACTTGTGTTCACAAAAGATTACAAACATCAGATCCGAACCTCACAGGCTGCCCCTCTGGGTAATCAAAAAAAAAAAAACTATGTTCATACCACACATGCTTTCGAGCAGCAGAAGCAATTGGTTTACATGCAAAGTATATGGTTGACATGCATCAAGGTGCATCAAAAGGTCCTGCAGCGGGTCTAGAGCAGCAGGAGCAGCGCATCTTGACATATCTGAGCAGATGAAGCAGCGCCTCATGAGCTTCTGAGCCGCATGACATGCTTCACATGCTGGAGTTGGAAAAAATTGTGCTTTTGCTGCTTGATGTGCCACATTAACCAATCAGAGAACCTGATCTGGGGGCTGGCTGGGAGATGGACACAGTACTGCTGATGCAGAGTGCTATGATCACTCCCCTGAAACAGTTTATTAATGCCTAAATTAACTTAAAATATTGAAATCTGCCAGCATATTATGGTGCCTGTAGTTTGTAGCACGTACATGAAAAATGCTTAAAAAAACGTTCAGGTTGAGACTGGTAGTCTAAAGGAGATGGGTGTTCCCTTGTTTCCAATATTTCATCATCTTTTTTCCCTAAGTTTCTTGACTTCAGCTGAAGTTCAAACCAACTCAAGTGCCGTCCCTTGAAGCATTTTATCAGCCTTTGAGCAGCCTCCTGCGGAGCTGCCAAAGTTTCTGCACAAGTCATTCATGTTTGCGAAGGACACCTTTAAAAATCACCAAGGAATTCTTGATTGTGATTCCTTCAGTAGTTTCAAGCCTGTGAGAATGCAACAGTACACATTACTGTTACATTACTGTTTTTTATTTAGTGAATACATTATTAATAAACACAAGTGTAATAATAAAAGTAAGTTTAATAAAAGCACACCTTGACATTTTTTAACTAAAAATTGTATTAAATACAAGGTTCAGGCAAGGTAATGTTGAAAAAGTTTAGCCCTCAACTTTCAGTAACATATCTGAACATCTAACAGTCAGCCAGAAGACCAGCAGTCACAAAGTGAATGCGTTTAATGGTTAAAAATACACACAGGGAGAATCCTGACAGTTGGAGAAGAGAAGACAATAGTATGTGTGTAACTAAATGCCTCAGTCCTTGTCCTGCTGGGTCCTGCCAGGGGAAAATTCCTCTACTCTCTGCTCCACCAAACAAGAAAAACCACAGCACAGTGGAGCTATGCTTCTCACGTCCGTGTCTATAAGCGTGTGTGTCTGTCTGTACGACTTTGTGTTTGTCCACTCGGAGGCGGCGAAGTGTGACGGCCTGGTCACTCAGACCGTGGAGACTTATGAAGCGAGAGCAAGCCAGCTGTTCAATTTGGCCACATGGGTAGACAGAATGAAAAGTAGAATACTGAAGAGAAACAGCCAACATAAGACGTGCACTGTATATATAACTCCTTCTGTATCTGCTTTTTCTGCTCTGGGAATGAATTGTTTTAGCTATCATCAAGCATCCTCAACTTTCAAGAACAGATGCAAAATATTTGAGGGTATTCAAAGGATGCCACATTTCTTGTAAAGGACAACATATTGTGTGTCAGTATAACCCTTTACATTTTATGGAGCAATACAAATGCTTCTAGAGGTGATAATAGCATAGAATGCAGAAGTTCATCCTGCAACCGGAGGATCGCTGGTTTTAACCTAAACTCCACCCGTCTTCCCATAGTGGCTACAATGTAGTTTGCTACCATCAGTGTGTGACTAAATGTAAAGTAAAGGTCTTTTGGGACTTGGATAAACTGCTATACAGGTACCAACACTTTCATCTTATCTTTTATCTTAGCATAGCCATGCCTAAACCTTAGTTTTTTTTCTTTTGTTTAGAGAAAGCTGCACATTTTTACCTTGATAAACTAAAAAAACGATTTTTAGTAATGGAACCTAAGAGTATGTCCCTACTGAGATCTGAACAGACGCCAATAGATGCATTAACCTCAAATACTGAAATGTTTCCAACCAATGAAATGCAGTGACATGTATGACATAGACCAGAAGTAGCAGGCTAAAGCAAACTAACTACCTTTCTTTAAAAAGGAGAGCATTCCTCTCAACCCCATATTGGAAGAGTTTGATTTGTCAGTTAACTCCTATAATTCTGAAACAAATCAAGAATGTAAGACATTGCAGCTGCAACTGCTGCTGCTGCGATTGGATGCTGCTCGACAAGGAGGCAGGCAGCACTTGGTGATTTACCCAATCAGATGGAAGGAATTGTACTGAATGTCCCTCCCATTTGCCACTTTGAGAAGCTGCTTATTTAAATCCGATGCTATAAAACTATAGTAGAAAAAAGATCTGGGGGGTTTGGGGATAATTAGAATATTTTGTTTTGTTCCTGATTAGGACAGATATTAAGTGCAGATAGGCGTTTTGTGTTGTAGTCCATGTACTGCTCAAGTCTGTGAGTGAGGAAAAGAAGAAAAGCTTTCAATTTCATGAAATCTCTACATTAATGCACATGTATGCTCATAGGATTTCGGTGAACACTGAAACGACAAGATCCTTAAACCAGACTAAAAATGCTGAGATGTTCTTCTGTTAAAGTAAAGAGAATGAGAATCAAAGGTTGGGTATCAGACCGAAATGCCTTTAGGTATGTCCCTGTGAAGCTTACCTGGGCATGTCCCACTGGGTGAACAGCATGTTGAAGCCAACAGAGGAAACTGGATATTCTTTTTGCCCTCTCAGTGTTTCGGGATTCCCCAGAATGAGTGGGAGATCTCTATAAAAAACACACAATGAAGGATGGAATAAACTAGATTTTGTTTGAAAGCAGCTAGAAAGGATAATCAGAATAACCTCTCATTATGAGTTTTTTTGCACTAGGCACAGCAGGAGGATTGTTCTGTGTTTATAACTTTCTTTATTATTCTGCTGCTTTCCAACAGCTGGGGACCTGAAGCAACTCTCTGACATCTAATTCATTTCCCTGACATAATTCCTTCTCTCCAAGAACTGAAAAAAGTGATTGATCTTCCGTACTTATTTTTTATGTCATAATTAATTTACTGTATAACATTTTTTTCTCTGCCGTTGCCTGGTTTGCATGCTGAGGTCTCCTACAGCTCAGATGGGGAGGTCCTAAATAATTTACTTCTTTAAACCAAGTCCCTTATACATTCTCTTTTTCCCTCATTTTGCTGGATGACTGTCATCGCTGTGCCATTCTTCGTGTGTCAGTGTGATGTCCATCTCTCATCTGCTCTGTTTTAATATTCTTAGAGAGTTCTCCGTCTATGTGCTCTGAATGCATGAAGTGTTAAAAGGAATAAATGAAAGCAGCTAAGAACCGCGGTTAAACCAGGAACAAACTGGAAATAATCTTCTCTCTTCTCCTTGCTCTCTGTTTTGTACTTTCTGTCTTTTCCTGTTCCCCAGTGCTCAGTCCTTCACCTCACTAACCAACGCTTTGATTGTCTCTCTTTGTTTCTTTCTCCCCTGTCTCCTCAGATCCCAATGCACTGGGGCAGCAAGGCACCGACCATGCCTTGATTGGAGGAGTGGTGGCTGTAGTGGTCTTTGTCACCTTGTGTTTAATCATTGTTCTGGGAAGATACCTGGCCAGGCATAAAGGTAAAACCACAATGGAACAGACCTCAAGGCTCATTGAACCAGCAGAGCATGCTCTACTTGTCAAGTATTAGACTGCAGCCCTTCTTCTTTTTCAAAGTAACAGTTTGATTAGGACAGAATAAAACTTGCACACTAAGGAAATGTTATGTAAATGAAAAGGATGTGAGCATTAACACTACCTTACACAGTTATTCACACCTACTGTACATTTCTGAATTTTGTCAGCCTGTAACTGAGTACGCAAATATGTATTTGAATTAAATTATATAATGAAAAGACCAGCACAAAATAGGTAATTGTGAGGGAAGGAAAATATACATAGATTTAAAATGCACAAACATACAAATGTGGCATGCATTTGTATTCATCTTATTTTTATCTTTATTCGATAGTATTGAACAAAACTCAAGGAATCCTTCAAATAAAAGCAACAAAGAGAGAAGATGTTATGTTATAAAAGTAAATCCCAGGTTTGGCTGTCAGTGCGCATCCCCCTTTACGTGCCATGCTGGATGGAAAACTGGATTGTCGCAGCGTTATTCTGTTGGAGAAGGGAAGCTGGCCAGCGCAGATGGGAAGATAGCCTAAACTTAATACAGAGCAATCATGTTAATGGCGGCAAAACAGCTGTGGCTGGAGCAGAATTCCACATTCAGCCTTGATAAAGACCCTTATAGTTCAGTCATAGCCTCAGTTTGTAGATTTAGATCCCAACATAAATAGCTTGTTAAAATAACCCAATTAAACTCTAGATATTCATCCACAAAAAAAACTATTGAGATAGTTGATTAACTAACCGTGAGACACCCTCCATCTAGTCTGACTAAAATTTTGTTTTCTTTGAATAGAACGAATTAGAGCTCCATTCTCTAGATCAGCAAAGCAGGTAGAGACATACCACAAAATACGGCAGCTGTGATTGCAGTGAAATCTTTCCAGTTGTCTCCCCCTTTCCAATGTGTTACTCTAAAAAAGATTAGAACCATTGAATACATTTACCAGTTATGTTTATCCGTAACTGATCTAACAATTGACTATATTGCAGCAAGTAGAGCTATTTCACTTCTGTATCAACCCAATGCAAACTGATGATGGATTTGTGAACCCTGAAAAGTATTTATTTCTGCATATCTAGATAACATATTCATGATCACTGCTAAAATAAATAATATGAAAAGAGCTGTTATCTAAAGCTTTGTCATGATTTTATTCTAAGCATTTGACCAAAAGTTGCCTGGCTGTATAGTTGTATGTCAATTCTTGTCTCTCTTCGCTGCATATAGCCGGCACATTTGTTGATGGTTTTTGGCTGTGTCTGTAGAGGGCTTCACTCACATTCACCACACTATCCCAGCTTCTCATCACTCTGTCTATGAATAATGTAGCATCACTGATGTCTTCACATGTGCTGTCTGCCCCAGGCAGGCAACAGCACGCAGGGATGCTCAGTATTTGTTTTCCTTGTGATGGGTTTGTTTTCTCCCCTCTTTTGCAGGAACATACTTGACGAACGAAGCCAAAGGGGCGGACGACGCACCCGATGCTGACACAGCCATCATCAACGCTGAAGGGCACCATGCACATGCTGAAGAAAAGAAGGAATACTTCATTTAGACTGCATAGGGAGCTGTGCAGCTCTCTCCATTTTCTCTCAGTCCCTCTTTTTCTAATAGTCCATCCCTCTCTGTTCTCCTCTTCAGTCTTCACCTGTGACCACTGCTCCCTTTGAGTCGACACAGAGTGCGCAGGCAGAGATGTTCCTTAAAGCTTTTTTTTTTAATTTCCTGTTGTTCAGCATTTCTCTGTGTTACATTTTTTATTTTTTATTTCCTTTTCGGCAGTTTTAAAATTTTGTTCACTCGCAGCATGATGCTGCTACTGACGCTCTACCCCTTCTCTCGTTATTGCTGGTCTAGTGACACAAACACCAGGAAATCTGTATATCTGCCATGGCTGCTTCTTACATGACCTCTTTTTCACCCTTTCTCTTGTTTCCCACGAAGCAGACACACTGCTGCACATTGTATCCCCCCTCACACACACACACACAAACACACACACTTATCTCATGTCAACACAGTGCCTAAAAATACAGACGCCATCGAACTTCTTTTAATGCCTTCATGTGTCGCCTGTCAGTAGCAATGTAAATGCTCTGTAGCTCATCTCATTGCTTTGCTCACAGCTTTTTCTTACACATAACATCCTTTTTTATTTGAATGAATCTGTGCTGTTTACGCCTTATATGTGTCTGTCACACTGAATATGGTACTTTTAGATGATCCACTGCTCCCGAACCTCCCCATCCACACTAAATAAACTTGTAATTAAGCAGTGGACGGTTTGTAAGATAAGACGAAGGTTTTGTGTAACACTGTAGCAAAGTTTGTTTGGATAAGTGTATAATATGATTTTCACTATTAGGCTAGAAGTGATAAGGGGTAGTGCAGGTAGTGTTTTTTTTTTTTTAGAGCAAAGAACCCACCAAAAATCTAGGAAGGAGTCCGTAGATGAAGCTATTTGCTAAATCTGCTGTCCCTCTGTACTTTACTCTCCACATCCCTGCGCTATGCAGGCAGCAGTTTAGTGAAACATTTTAAACGCTATCTGGACAGCTGACAGTAGTCTGTGTTTTACATGAATGATTTAGATGTACAGAAAAAAAAAAAAAACAATCCACGTCTTAAAATCTGTAAAAAATGTATTTAAATTCTGTTAACAATTCACATTTTGATCATTTCCGTTCAGTAGAGTCATGTTGAAGCCTAAGGACCTCATGAAATGTAAAGTGAACAATTAAAGGTTCTGTAACAACAAAGTGAGAACAGTAATGGGATGTTCAGGCAGTCCAGTGTTTTCAAACATATTTTAGTACCTTAGATTGATGCCTTATAACTTTAAGCTGTAGGCAGCTTTAAATTACAGGTTTACAGGTAACATTGACTTGGAATAAGTAATTTATTGCCTCTTTATATATATTAGAATTTAATAAAAATAAGCAGCCACAATTTCCCTTGACATGACAGTGAAGGCTGTCCTTTAGCCTGTATTCAGTTTTCCTGGCTGTCAGTCAGTATTAGTCGCAACCATTTCCATTACTGGATTGGGTTTTCTCTGAAATATTCCCAATAGATATTTTCCTCTAGATCTAATGCCTTGTCTTTTGGACAGAGAGATTAATATGCCTGGATTAAAACATTTTACCAAAAAAAAAACAGCAGTCTTTCACGTGACTGTAAATACTGTACTCCATCTTGTAATCCAAGAAAAAAAGATGCAGGGAAAAGCAGTAATGTCTCCATTTTTTTTTTAAAACAGACATTTCTTTCATCCTCATTTTGTCAGTGAGGTCAACAGGCCGTCTTCTCAGCAGTTAGCCTCGCAGGCTCTCCTCTTCTTAGAGCTTTCTTATATCACGCACATATCCTTCAAGGTTATTCTTGTCAAAAACAGAAAACAAATACAAAAGAAATAAGTGCTGAATCAAAGACTTTAGAGCCTAAAATAAAACTCTTTGGCCTGGAACAAAAGAGACTGGTGCAGAACTGAGCACAGTCAATGTTGTCAAGTAAAAATCAGTCATCACTTTAAACTGAAGATAAGTGGTTATAATATGTTACAACATTTTCTTAAGAAAAAATATTAATTGATGTTTTTAACTAGTCCTTTTTATCATGTAGTGTGTCGCTGTTTAATTTCATGAGGTCTTCAAATAAAATAAATAAATCAGAAATGCTGAGGGAGAAATGCTGAGAGTCTTGGGTCATGGATCTGCATGGGCCCCATTTCCAAAAACCAAAAACTGGAAACAAACAGAGAAGCACAAAATTTGACAGAATGAGTTACTGTGTTTCATTGCCAACATCTAAATTGCCTTGGGAAATGGTTCTTCTAATGCAAGAGGTGGTGGAAAGATGAAACAGCTGCAAAGCGTCTTTTTTGTAAATGTACGCTAAGTATTTTTTTTTATATTAAAAAAGTCTTATATTGTTGGTTTAAATTGTATCCCACTCCATGTTAGATATACTGTGTCTTCTAAAATGTGGTTGACTGTAAAAAAAAAAAAAAGAAAAAAGATAGCTGTTAAATTTTGGACTCCTGTATTCTTTCAAATTTGTATATCTGCCACCTTACCTATTTACTTACATTTAAAAGAGGCGTTCAAAATTTTGTTTTGTTTCTGTGCATGTACATAATGTGTAAACATAACACGTTGGTACTTCACATAAGCATGATTTCTGGTTCTTAATTTACATTTTGATTATTTCAACTAAGTTTACTGAACAAAGAAACACAGCACAAGTAAATTAAACTCTAACTTTATCTTGTTTTTGTGCTGCTGGTCTGATCCGGACAAAAATATGACAAAAAGGAAAATTTAATGTAAAGTCAGATCAGTTTGGACACAAATTGATTGAAAATAGATTATTTATCCTTAGAAATAAAATAAAATGCAAGGTATCTTTTGTATCCAATGCCCAAAATGGAAAACATAACTCAATTTAAAAAGAGTCATGAACATGGAAAAAACGTACACAAATACAGCAAAAACAATACCTTCATGTTCATGACAAGTAAATAAAACTCTCTGGCCACTTTATTACGTACTCATACTTACTTGAATGTTAAACAAGGGATGTCAATCACATACCAGAACTTTAAAGCATTTATGCATCTTGTCATTGTAAAGGTGTTTTCTGAAGTTAAAGCCCAGCATGAGAGAGAAATTAAAAGAGGTGATTAAACATGGGATAGTTGATGGTGCAAGATTGTCTGGTCTAGGATTTTCTGAAACTGTTAATCTATGGGAAATTTTATTCTCATGTTGGAGTCTTGTTCAGAAAAGATGTCGTTTTTATGGTATGAAAATATCTTATACGTTTCAGAGCTTAAAGACGAATGAACAGACTAGCTTGAGATAATAGAGGTAACAGTAATCCAAGAAACACCTACTCCTAAAAAAAGTATGCAGAAATCTTTATCAGAAGCAAAACTGTGGACTGAGCAGTGTAGAGATGATGCTGGTTGGACTTGTCTATCCAGAAGTAAAGCAGAGAAAAAAAAAATATTTCCCTTGTTTGTACGTGCATAATGCAAGAGGTTGAGGGAAAGGGGCTCATAGACTCCTGTAGCTCTGCTTCAATATCAGGCTAATTCCCAACAGGCTGAAGTTCAACTCAATCCAAAAGGTTCCTGCGTGACAAAAAAAAAAATAAGCCCAAGATATCAGACAGTAAACCCACTCTATACCATAGAAAAGCATACATCTATCCTGGATTCTTTGATCAAAAGCTCAGGGTGGTGGTGTGATGGAATGGGGTCACTCTCCCCCCCCTAAACTCTGATCATTATCTAAAAGCCAAAGCATACCTGTATATTGTTGCTTACATCCTCTCTTTATGATACAGCTTAGCCATCCTTTTATGTCCACTCCCAGCATGATAATGCAGCACACCACAAATATTTGCTCATCTTCAAGAACTTTCTTTAATACTACATGAGTTCACTGTACTCCAATGACCACCACATTAACCTAATATCAATCCAACACAGCATTTTTGGAATGAGGCGGAAAAGAGGATTTTCTTTATAGATGCAGATTATACCCTGCATTGGCAACGTTTGCCTAATAAAGTGGTTGGAGAATGTATTTATCAAAGGTGAAAAACATTTCTTTATCTTTTATTTCATCATTTCCATTTTTTGTAGAAGCTTAAATTAGTTTGGCTGAAGTAGGCTCCTTTAAAAGTCTGATAAACCCCAACAGCATTAATCTCCTTGGGCAAAACAAATTATCACAGAGGGCAATGAAAAAGTGGACCCAGCTGTCTCTAGTTAGGTGGCCAGTTTACAATATTATGCAAATAAAGAAGGCAAAGGTCTTGTTTGAGCAGCAAAACTGAACATCCATACTGGAGGGAATTACATGTGGGAATCCTTAAGTCAATATCAGTTTATTTTTTGATATCACGGTGTGTGTAGGATTACATATTTTTTATTGTTATTTATCACAATTTTCATACTATACACTTTTGTGCACTTAAACTTTTACCACAACTTTAACAGAATTAGATTTGTTGTTAAAAGGTTTTGCCTGTATCTATCACTTGTTTTCAGAAGCAATTGTCACAAAATAATATAAAATTTTTTTTCTAAATGAGAGATGGTACCGCACACTTTTTTTCATGCATTTCATCTGTGTATCGATTTTAGAAATGAGAAAAGTGAGGATATGGTATTTAGTAAAAGGTCTACAGTGATGAGTTGGTGTTGGCGTTTCAAATGAAAAGGTGCCATTTACTGAATTATGCACTCAGACCATTACAACTTGATGGATATTTCTTAGTAATTGTTCAAATGTGTTTGCTTTTCCTCTTTTCAAGACAACTGTAAATATTTAGTCTTACATGAGAGTACTGAGTTGATTTATTGCAATGGCTTTTTATCATTTTTAGACCAAACTTAAATCTTAAGTTACATTTTTTTTAACAGTTTATCCGATGCCACAATGTGCTACTTTTAATATCTATATGTTGATATACAGATTCAATTGTAGCTGTTCCTTTTCTTATTTCTTTTTCTTAATTTTCTTTGTTGTGAAAAAACTAAGCTTTAAAAAAATCCTAATTTCTCATTGGTGTCGGTTCGGTTAGCAGGATTATGAGCTTAAAACCTAATTATTAAAAGCACTAGCATAGTGACATTGCAATGCCATTTTCATTAAGCATCAGGCTATTTTTCCTTTTTCTATATAAATAATTTCCTGGCTCATGACAACCCCTTTTCCTTCTGCTGAAGCTGTGTTTGCTGTGAGTCGAGTTGTGCATTTATGCAGATTAAGCAGAACAATGCTGGCTGCAATTTTGCCAGAAAATGGCTTGCAATTTTAGGACCAATTTTCATGTTGGCTACACACCAGTGCAAATTTGCAAAACACACCTTTTTTCCCTCTTTTGCTACAGGTCAGCTTGTGTATAGCTGACACCGATTTACAAGGAGGTTCAAATAAAGCTGTTTGCCTGAAGTTAAATAACAAGACGAGTTATCCAAGCATTATGTTATCTATTTTATATAAACCAGGATTAAAACAATATGTTTATGTGGGAAATGCACCAGAAAAGAACAGGTTTCTCTCAATTGATAAGCTTTGGTGCTGTAGATGGTACAAATGTATATTATTATGGCATCATGTAAAATTAAGAATTTAGGCCAAATTGTGTATTGTAAAGAAAGTACAGTAAAAAAAAAAAAAAAGGGACAATGATCAAATGAGTTTTTATTGTTTGTACCCTCCTCCTGCCTACCTGCTTCTTTTATCATAAAAGAAAATGTATGTTTTTAAGTATGCTCATTGCTGTTTTCTATCTTATTAGTTTGTTTGTTTTTTCTTCCTTAAGAGATTGTTCAGACTTTTTGAAGTGATTTTCATTATTGTTACTCCTATTACACTACCTATAACAGATAAATGCCATTTTTCTGGGAACTTGTATGGAAGTAACTAAGTGTTCAGGGAAAAGGAAGGAACACAGCTAGTTAGATGGTACATTTTAGTTGTGCAAAAAATGTAAAGCTTTATTTTTTTATCTGTGATCTATAATTCTGAATTGGATGAAAAAATTTTATGATTTAACATTATTCTGTTGGGAGTTTGTCTCTGTTTAATCAGTCATGCAGCTTTCCCACTGAGACTTCAAGTTACATTGGTTGACGCTACCATCTGCGTCAATCTGCCAAGGGTGGGGTTAACTTTCTGATTGTAGGACTGGCTTCAAATTGTATGTTTTACATTTTTTGAGATCTTGAGGCTATTTGGAAACGATCCCTGCAAGCTCCATCCATCTATCTTCTGCAGAATCTGTCAGGGTCAGGGGTGCTTACTTCCAGTGATCCATAGGTGAAAGGCAGGGTACACCCTGGACATGTCGCCAGTCCACAGTAGCCCTGCAAACTCGAGATTGGTTATTTTAACGCCGTAGTATAACCTGTTTGTTGAGAAAAGAGCAGGCAAGTAAACATCCAAGTTATGTTCTAAATAGCTGCTACTATAGAAATGTGCTCATAAAGGCATCGGCATACCCAGCTTCAGTTTACCTGAATTCGTCAGTAAAAATTGAAATGTTCTGCATGCAAAGGCAAGCATTTGTCTTATATAGGGAGTGATATGGGAAGAGATCATTTCACAGAACTCACTTCAGAAAATCTGAACTGGTGATGGGCAAACCTGATCGCATTTCTTTCTCAAAGTGCTGCTTCCCCCATTTATGCATTTGACTTTTAAGCAACACTGCATAATGAATTTGCAAATTACTAAAACAAATTTCAACAAGTTACTGAAGGTTGATATGAAAATGAAATTAGTTCTAGCTTCAAACATGAAATTCTCTATTATAATTTAGGAGTTCAGTTTGACACTATTCCTGTGCCGTCTATCTTCTCCTGGCTCTCCACATTCCTTTGCTGTACAGTTTAGCTTCAGCATAACTCTTAGTTCCTCCTGAAAAATCGACACTGACGTCAATCAGCCCAGTGTCTATAACGTCACATTGATGATAACATGTGACACAATCGCATGTAATGTTGTACTGTTCTTATGATTTGTACCTGTTGCTTTTCTTTTGCATCTCAGGAAAATATTTCTTTTGGGATTTCTTTTTGTTTCATTTTTTTCTTTTAGATGGTTTTCTGTTTTAACATGGGGACTTGTGAGCACCTATCACTCTACTGGTCCCTATATGCTGACACCATGTACTTGTTCAGTTTAAGATTACCACAATGTTAATAAAATTATTCAGTGATTCTTCAGTTATTGTCATCTGTAAGCTTTTTGTTTACCTTGAATTTGAAAAATGCAATTTATATTATGAGAATAATATCACATTTGTTTTTAAATCAATAATCTTATTATGAAACCCTAAGAAAATTTGGTTGAGATACTCAGCTCAAAATGCGCATATAGAATGTAGATAGAAATAATAAAAACCTGTAGTAAAATAAACATAAGCATCCTTAGTGGACACCCTCAGGACACCCTCCAGGAGAAAACCACAAAATATTGAATATTAAAACTTTGTAACTTTTAGAGGAACATTTTGAAATACTTGTAAAATATATATATCTTGGAAAAAGTAGAATATGTGTATTGGGTTTGCATGTAGTATTTCTAAAATGTGCTTATGTATGTGATTAATGTTCCATGTAGTTTCCGGAATGGTGGGAAAAAGTTCCTATAGTTAAACTGAAGGTATGAAATCATTTAGTGCCTCAATAGTCCATTATGTTTCTATGTGAGGCTACAAATTTCTCAATACATTATATTTTAATCTTTATATTAGGCAATATCCCTGATTTAAGACAGGGAATTTACATGGGGGGAATAGCTAGGACGTTTATTGAAACAAAACATTTGTAGGTTTGGCCTCCTAATTTAGTGTTTCATTTAAAACATCACTACCTCATCTCTTACTTCACCCCACAATGGAGGAATTTCTCCTTCATGTGATTTTTTTTAATTCAGTTTGGAGCTGTATCAAATTTTGTATATAATAAAAATAGTTGCATCAATAGTTGAAAAAATATCTCTAAAAGTTTTATTCTTCTTTTAAGTGTCTATGCATAAATAAAAATGTGCAATATTTTTATTGATATAGCAAAGAAGCTTTGATGATGCAGTGGAGCTACTAAGACTTTGAAAACATTTTAACTGTCCTCATTGCCTTAAGGTTAATTGTGTGAGTGTATGTGTCTGCGCCTACCTACAGACACATGCTGAAAAACAGACTGTCCTCGGAAAAACTTCAGCAAAAAAAAAAAAAAAAAAGATGTTTACATTTATTTAGTTCAGAGGAATAATTCATGTTGTGTCTCTGCTTGTATCTGCGCTCTGTGGTCCTGATGTTGTGTTGCTGTTCAGTTTTTCTTGTGCAATGTTTTGATGACTTGGGTTTTATTGTAGGTATTGACTGTCTGGACAATAATGTCCCTATGAGCTTTACATGATATATAAAGATACTTAAATGGTCTCATGAAATTTGATGTGTACAAGAAAATAATGAAAGTCAGCAAGTCTGAAAATAGTAAATATGGGTTTATTAAAAAAGTTTCTTTATATTAACTCTAAAAAAAACTAAGAAAAAAAAGTTTAAACATACACATTCTTCTGATTATATTGCTTACAAGATTGCCTTTTTAATTAATCTATTTTCATGTTTTAGTATTCTCTACAGCGCTGCAAAAATTGATGAACCTTAAAAGAAGTCTTAAAAAAATAGGAATATATGAACTGACTGGATTTTAGGAAATTCTGATCACAAAAAATTCATAGAAGTAATTATCAAATAGGTTTAGACTCATCGTTGAACTGGGTAATATTTATTATGAATAATGGATTTTTCTTTTTTATAATTACAATTTTTTTAATTGCCACCTTTTAACAGAAACAAATGATTAATGCACAGTCTTCTTCAAATAAGAATAAAAAAACATCTACAGTATCTCAAGCACCCTGGACTGCAGGTATGTTTTTCTTTTCTGAAATGTTGCAATGTCTGAAAAAGGATATCAAGCAGTAAAACTTACTTTTCATAACATCCCTCTAATTGCAAGTAAAAATTAACTTAAATTAAGTTAAAGTAGAGTAACCTTCCTGTTTAACTTGTTTTTGTCCAATATTCACACACACCAAAAATTATATACACAATTATATACACACATATATATATATACGCTATACATACATTTCAACGAAAATATACATACCTACAAAACACATCAGGCAAAAATTCAGAATTATACCCTTGTACATCGGCACTCAAGAGTACTGCCACTCTTTCTACCCCCCAATAATTTCCACCCACCTCCCCACAAAACCCCCCAATCATCAGTGACACAGCCAGACACCACAGTCCCTCCATCCGCTCCCCGAACGGATCCCACTTCTCAGCCCACAGTGACATTACCCTCCCCTCCTCATAGCAGTACATGTTGAAAAACAGCAGTTTGATCCTATTTTTAAGCAGACTCATGCTTGGACATTGCTTCAGTAACTCTTTTTGGAGTTTATTCCAGACCTGCACATTCTCTTCATGGTGGTTCAAACCCTCAAGGTTCTGAAGGTAAAGTATTCCCTGTAGTCATAGCCCCCACTCTATCAGAAAACAGCTTTTGAATATTTCCAGGTAGTTGTTCATTTCTAGCTTTGTACATAAACTGAGCTGTTTGAAATTCTACTAGATCTGTAAGTTTGAGAAGGCTGGACTCTATAACTACTATATTAGTATGATCGTGGAATCATGCCTTAAGAACCCAATGGATGGCCCTTTTTTGTAATGTGTATAAAGGTCGCAGCAAGGTTTTGTACTGTAGGTGTTGTCCCATATTTCTACACAGTAACTCAAGTAAGGTAATATAAGTGCGGACTGTTCTGCTTTTGAATGGTTTTTGTGTTTAAAATTCAGTAGCTTAAGGATAACTGATCCATACGGAAGAGGATTAGGGCCACTGGAAAAAAAAAAAAAGTTAACAGATTTTTTAAATTTTATTTCAGTATAGTATGGGAAAAAAGTCAGAATTCTGACTTTAATCTCAGAATTCTGACTTTCTGTTATTGTCAGAATTCAGTCAGAATTCTGAGGAAAAAAGTCAGAATTCTGAGATTAAAGTCAGAATTCTGAGAAAAAAGTCAGAATTCTGAGATTTTCCCATGTTAAACTGAAATAAAATTTAAAAATCAGTTTACTTTTTTTTTTTTTTTTCAGTGGCCCTAATCCTCTTCCGTAAATCCATATGGGACAACTCAAGATACAATGATCAAAAGTTTACTGGAAATAGAAAATAATTGAGTCAGTATGTTGAGCCCCTTTTGGGGCTTTAGAGGGTGGACAAGTATTTGAGTTTCTGATGGAGAGGATTTTAGAGTTGCTGTTTATGGAAGCAGGTTCTACATGAGATCATGGCTTTCAAGCATTTTGAAAAGGGGGATTTAGGAACTTTAATTGAGAAAAAGGATCCAGGGGGAGAAGCGAGGAGGTAACCAAATGTATATTTGGAGAAACTGAGGTTAGCATAAAGCCAATAACTAGTCCTTGAAGATTAACACAGGTAATACCATGGAGAGTAAGAGGGACCACTTAGGCTGACATTGAGGTGTGGAATGGCCAGCAAGCAGCTCTTTTTAAATCCCAGGTGTAGAGCTTAATGAAAAGCAGGTGTGTACAGGTGCTGGTCATAAAATTAGAATATCATGAAAAAGTAGATTGATTTCAGTAATTCCATTTAAAAAGTGAAACTTGTATATTATATTCATACATTACATACAAACTCATATATTTCAGATATTTATTTTGTTTAATTTTGATGATTACAAATGACAACAAATGAAAATCTCAAATTCATCATATCAGAAAATTAGAATATTACTGAAGACCAATAAAAACAAAGGATTTATAGAAATGTTGGCCAACTGAAAAGTATGAACATGAAAAGTATGAGCATGTACAGCACTCAGTATTTAGTTGGGCCTCCTTTGGCCTGTATTACTGCAGCAATGCGGCGTGGCATGGAGTCGATCAGTCTGTGGCACTGCTCAGGTGTTATGATAGCCCAGGTTGCTCTAATAGTGGCTTTTAGCTCTTCTGAATTGTTGGGTCTGGTGTATTGCATCTTCTTCTTCACAATACCCCATAGATTTTCTATGGGGTTAAGGTCAGGAGAGTTTGCTGGCCAATTAAGAACAGGGATACCATGGTCCTTCAACCAGGTACTGGTAGCTTTGGCACTGTGTGCAGGTGCCAAGTCCTGTTGGAAAATGAAATCTGCATCTCCAAAAAGTTGGTCAGCTGCAGGAAGCATGAAGTGCTCTAAAACTTCCTGGTATGTGGCTGCGTTGACCCTGCACCTCAGAAAACACAATGGACCAACACCAGCAGATGACATGGCACCCCAAACCATCACTGACTGTGGAAACTTTACACTGGACTTCAAGCAACGTGGATGAAGTGCCTCTCTTCTTTTCCTCTAGGCTCTGGGACCTTGATTTCCAAAGGAAATGCAAAATTTACTTTCATCAGAGAACATGACTTTGGACCACTCACCAGTCCTGTTTCTCTTTAGCCCAGGCAAGACGCTTCTGACGCTGTCTGTGGTTCAAGAGTGGCTTGACACAAGGAATGCGACAGCAGAAACCCATGTCTTTCATACGTCTGTGTGTGGTGGTTCTTGAAGCACTCACTCCAGCTGCAGTCCACTCTTTGTGAATCTCCCCCACATTTTTGAATGGGTTTTGTTTCACAATCCTCTCCAGGGTGCGGTTATCTCTCTTGCTTGTACACTTTTTTCGACCACATCTTTTCCTTCCCTTCGCCTCTCTATTAATGTGCTTGGACACTGAGCTCTGTGAACAGCCAGCCTCTTTAGCGATGACCTTTTGTGTCTTGCCCTCCTTGTGCAAGGTGTCGATGGTCGTCTTTTGGACAACTGTCAAGTCAGCAGTCTTCCCCATGATTGTGTAGCCTATAGAACTAGACTGAAAGACCATTTAAAGGCTTTTGCAGGTGGTTTGAGTTAATTAGCTGATTAGAGTGTGGCACCAGGGGCCATCAATTTTGAACCTTTTCACAATATTCTAATTTTCTGATATGATGAATTTGAGATTTTCATTTGTTGTCATTTGTAATCATCAAAATTAAACAAAATAAACATCTGAAATATATGAGTTTGTATGTAATGTATGAATATAATATACAAGTTTCACTTTTTAAATGGAATTACTGAAATCAATCTACTTTTTCATGATATTCTAATTTTAT